CCTGTGTTCACCGGCTCCTATGCTGCTTCCATGTGCCAAATGCATGATAGAATGACTGGACTCGGGAAACATACTCTAACATGGATTTAAATACACAAGACTAATTAACTCAACTAGAAACAGCTGATGACACGGGCATTCCACACGAGGTAGTGAGGGAGCGTGGCACACAGGAGGATCGGCGTAAGCAGGGCATGACACATACTTACTTATGCATGTAGATTTGAGTACCCTTAAAATGATGTTGAATAACAACTTGCAAACATTTCAAGTTACGAACGGCCGTTCGGAACGTAGCTTGTTCGTAAGTAGAGGAGTGTCTGTATTACATGACATGAGTAGTGAGAGCGCGGAATTTCGCCAGACAGAACGATCTTTTTGGAATCTGTTCCCACACGTCGGACGTTCTTTGAGACAATGCTTAACAAAGTGAGACAGTTAAACTGGGGCCTATACTACGAAGCGGGTTACTGGCTTATCGGGGTTGCTGGTTGGATTTAAGGTAGTCTGGGCAAAATATAAGTGAACGAATATGAAGTCCATTTAAACTGTGGTACCTTAAATCCGACAAGTTACCCCCGATAAGCCAGTAACCCCGCTTCGTAGTACAGTGGCCTGTAAATGTAAAAAAAGCTGAATGTAAACTTTTTCATACTCACAAAACACACTCCTTTTTAAAACATTCATAAATGTGGTGAATGGTGGGGGAGGCAACCACTCTTAACAAGCTGATGAGTTGCACCTGCAAAGGAAGCGGGGGAAGCGAGTTTAAAGGCTAACAAGTGCTGCACTTAGGAAACAGTTTTCTGAAAGGGGTGGCAAAGGACTACAGTGAAGGAAATACTTATTTGAGCCCCTGCTGAATTCTTAAATTGACCCATTAATAAAGGAATGAGAAGTCTATAACTTCACTGGTAGGTTTATTTTAACAGCAAAAGATAGATAGATCAACAAAACAAGCCAGAAAAATCATCATGTAACAGTTACAAACCAATTTGTCATTTATCTAGGGAAATAAGTATTTGATACCTTGGAACACATGTATGCTTTAGTACTTGGTGGAGTAACCATTGTTGGGAAGCACAACTGTCAGATGTTTCTTGTAGCTGGTCACCAGGTTTGCACACAGCTCAGCAGGAATTTTCCTCCACTCCTCTTTGCAGATGTCCTCCAAATCTTTAAGGTTTTTAGGCTGTCACTTGGATACACAAAGCTTGAGTTCCCTCCATAGGTTTTCTATGGGATTAAGGTCCAGAGACTGGCTAGGGCACTCCATGTTGTCTTGCTGGAAGACCCACCCACAATGCATTCTCAGTGCCCTGGCTGAAGGAAGGAGGTTCTCTTCCAAGATTTTACGCTACATGGCCCCATCCATCTTTCCTTCAATGCAGTGCAGCCGCCCTGTACCCTTGGCAGAAAAACACCCCCAAAGCATAATGCTTCCACCTCTGTGTTTGACAGTAGGGATGGTGTTCCTGGGGTTACAGTCAGCATTCTTTTCCCTCCAAACACAGTGAGTAGAGTTGATGCCAAACAGCTTGATTTTGGTCTCATCTGACCACATCACATTCTCCCAAGGCTCATTGGAATTATTCCGGTGTTTACTGGCATATTTCAGATGGGTCTGAACATGGGCCCTCATGAACAGGGGTACTTTGTGAGCACTGCAGGATTTCAAACTATAACTGCATACTGTGTTACCAATGGTTTTCTTGGCAACCGAGGTCTCTGCTGCTTTGAGATCATTAACGAGCTCCTCCTGTGTAGTTCTGGGGGTAGCCTTTACTGTTCTTAAGATCAATGATAAAAAACAAGACAAAATCTTCCTTTGGGCCCGAGATCCAGGGTGATTGACACGTATTCTGTCTTTCTTCAATTTGCAAATAATTCCACCAACAGGCCCATTCCACCTTTATCAAGGTCAACAATTTTGTCTCTGACATCCTTAGACAGCTTTCTAGTGTCTCTCGTGGTGATAAGATTGAAGATCTAGAAAGGTTAGTGACCAAAGAATACTCTTTAAACAAAATAATGCCATTAAATGTGAATGCTGGCTTGGTATCTGTTAATAATTAAGTACAACTTGTGTTGTGTTAATGTGTTAATTTCTTGCTGACTTGTAGGGGATCCAATACTTATTTCCCTAAATAAATGACAAATTGATTTGTACCCGTTACATAATGATTTTTTCTTGTTTGTTTTGTTGAAAATCTATCTTCAGATGTTGAAATAAACATAATATTGAAATTATAGACTTCTCATTTCTTTATAAATGGGTGAACTTAGGAATTCAATGGGGGGTCAAATAATTATTTCCCTCATTGTATGTGCGGATTTTGCTGGGAGTGGGGGTGTGATCATCATCTCAGAAAGACTGCCCCTATGTGGGGGGAAACTCCCAGGGGTGGGCATGGTAGGCTGAGTACCCTGTCCCCTGTAGTGAGTTTATGTGGTCGGGGGGTTTTTGCATATGTTTGAGTGGGGGGGTTTGATGATGGACCAGTATGACATTATGGTAGTGAGGGTAGTATTTCACATTTAAAATGATGTGGGCCCTGTTTGGGTTATAAATGTGACTGAGGAGGAGCACCAGCTCCATCGGGGAGTGAAGGTAGGCTCGGTGGTGACCACTATTGAAGTGGGGCATGCAGCAGTATGAGTATGTGATGCTGATGAGGGGTTCAGACAGTAGTGAACCAATTAACTTTTCCAGCAGCTTATCCTCGAGAAAGGGGAGCTCATCAACTCTCAGATAAGCACTGCCTGGGCGTTGTTGCAATATCATGCCACTGTGTGTAGCAAGAGTGAGACAGATTTGGGGAGAGTGCATCTGACAAGGCAAAATTGATACTGGTGATGCTTGACCTATTAAAATGCTGGCACTGCGGGTATCTCTGTAGCTCCATGAGAAAGTGAGTGAGCACATAAAGAGTATGTTGAAGTATGGTATTATTCCGCCTTCTCGCAGTTCTGCAGCGAAGCGGATGGACCTGGAAGACACAGCCGAGACCAAGACAGGCTCAACGTGTGTGATGGGGCCCTCACCAGGGTAGAACACGGGGCTCCAAAAGGCTAGCTGTGATGCGCTAGCAGGCGAGTCTGCAGCTTTCGCTGCATCTAGAACTGCAAGCAGAAACAGGACAGAGTTTTCTGGATAGAGCCAGAGTGGTATCGGACTCAAGGTCGGGCCGCTTCTTCATTCTCCGCCTCCCATGACAGCAGCTGCTGGAGGGCTTTGGTGAGTCCGCGGCTCAATCGCAGGTGAACAGCGGAGATTGAGGTGAAGGATCCTCAACCCCAGGGGTTGAGGGATGCCCACTGCTGAAGGCTCTCATCATCGCTCTAGGGTGAGCAAAGCACTCCCCCAATGCTTCACCTCCCAGCCCGGCCATTGCTCAGCCAGCCTTGTCATTGCTTTGGTTTTGTGTATATTGTAGCTTTTATTAAGTGCTTGCATGGTATTTTTGTAACTGTACATTTTTACATAAGTGTTTTCTATACCTTTGGTCATAGCTTTGTCAATGAAAAACATTTTATGAATGAAAGCACGTCTCCTCTCTCATAGTATAATGAACCTGACTGCCTTTTTCAGTCATGCATACTGGGTCAAAGTAAATAGATTAAAGAAGCCCTACTCACTCACAAAGACTGTACAACACCTGAATAAAATGCAATGATCACTTGTTGTCTTGGGCAAACTCTCTTACCATCTTTGACTTTCACCACAAATTAACAGGCAAGCAACTAATAGGCTATGTCAGTGAAAACTATGTCGTCAAAAACATATTTTGATGAATGACAGACCAAAGCATCACGACCATGACGGCAAATGAAGAGGAGGCTTATTTAAGGGAGAACAGCGCCCTTTTATTGCAGTCCTTAACAGGATTATAACACTCACCCAACTAACACCGAACCGATTACAACAATGGAAACACAAGGTGGTCAGACGCCAAACTGTAAGGTACACACATGGTGGGAGTTTTATACAAGCTGAGTACACGTGAGGATCGGACAGGGTTCACATAAGACACGTGCAAACACACATGCCACAATTGGGAATACAAGTATTAACCATAACATGGACAATACAAGAGCCATTTACAATGACATACACGGGGCTATATACACACGCTTGTGAGGTATGCTGGGATGCGCTAATCCCACCGGCGCTACTCTTGTTTGGGGCGGTAACTAGCGAATGTGAGGTTAGCCAAATATAGTTACATTCATTGTAATCAGGTGTATTAACATGGTAGCAGTGCAGTTAACTGTACGTAATCATGAACAGAGGTAATATGTAAATATTAAACACATTTACTGTCTATATTGTTTGTGAGACAAAGTCAACATCTGTTAATTGTTTTACAAAGTTTTTATTGTTTTTAAAACCCCAAAACAATCCTCTGGGTATTCTCCCTCAGTCCAAAGACATGTCATTAGGCTAAATGGTATCTCTAAATTGCCTGTAGTTTCTATGCAGGTGTGTGCACGTGTCCAATAATGATGTGGCATCCCCACCACGGCGTAGCCTTGCCTAGTTCCTAATGGTGATTGGGAAAGAGCCGAAAGACACCAGGTTCATGCCAAGGGCTGGGCTAAGCAAGTTAGGAAGATGGTTAGATGGATATATTTCATTAATTTTCACCTCAGTATTTCTGTAGTACTTTGAAGGAACAACACTTCCATGATTGTAGCTGGTAAACCAACAAGGTTCTTCGGTTTAACATGTGACAGTAGTCAGTGTGGTAGGAATGTGTCCAGGGTAACTTGATAGCGAACAAAGCAAGCAAACTAAAGTTTGAACATTGTGAAATACTGGTTATATATTAAAATGATTAAATGGAGGGAAAAAAGCTCATTTAATTACTTAGTGACATACATAACAAAACTGTAATTGTCAGTTCTCACTATTTTACTAAATATAATACTATAATAAAATAAGAAACAATGTCTATAATATATTTTTATTAATATAAAATTCTTGCAGTACAGTCATTGAAAGATTTCATTCATTGTGGATATGACATTACAAAAAAAGAAATAATCCTTCACAGAACTCTGGTCATCATGCTACAGCAGGCAGCGCTGGGCCCTGTTCATACGCTGCCATTCTGCTGACTTCCAGAAGGAGCTGCACATGTGGGGGAGAGGAAATAATTTGGGCTATTCTCTCTCTCAAACACTCAGAGCAGGTCAAAGCGATAAATAGAAAGTACCGTACCTGAGGTGCTGTGAAGGATTGGCACGCCCTGGGACACGGTTAGGTGGGGCAGAGGAATACCCTCCTCAATGGTGGCCTCCCTGATGCGGAGTGGGGACTGCAAGGTGGCGTGGGCCTCGGGAGCGGCGTGCAGCAGAAGCAGCAGCCAGGACTGTGCCACCAGCACCACCGCCTGTGCCCGGTCATCCCAGATGGAGGACAGGCCAAGCTCCGCACTTCCATACAGGAAAAAGGTGAGCCAGGCGGCCCACAGCAGGGCAGAGGCCAGGCAGGTGAGGAGTAGCCACACAGCGCTGCGTCTCAACTGCGGCTGCCCTCTGCACAGACCATAGGCCGCACCCACCAGCGCCGATAGGAGGAGGACCAGCACGTAGGTACAAGCCACTGTCAGGTCCAGTGGCTTGTACTGGCAGGCCTCCAGACCCTGAGGCATCTCAGTCAGTGTCATCCACTCAGGGTCCAGTACAGCCAAGGCCACCGCTAGCCCCACCAAGGCACCGCCACTGGGGCTACGAGCACCCCGTGCCAGTCTGTGCAGCCGCACACACTGGGCCACCAGGCATGCAAAAGACAGGGAGGACAGCACTCCCCAGAAGGCACGCCGGGCGATGCAGAGGGGTTCATTGCGCTCAATAAGGAACGCAATGCTAAGGCCGCAGAGCCCGATGACAGCAGCAAGGAGCAGGAGCAGTGGCGCCACCCTGCTGTGATCCTGCATGATCTTTCGCAGGCGGCACAGCAGCACCAGCGCCAGAATCATTGAGGCCAGGGCTGCCCCGCCAGCCGCCGACGCCACCGCCACACCCCACACTGCGTCCAAGTCACAAAGGGCCGTGTAAGGCCTCTTTATAAGGGAGCCGCACCCACGAGGAGAAGTCTCATCCATCGCAATACTGCTGCCGACCAGGGAGATGATTAGGACAGGACTGCCTCAGTTTTATCTAGCTCTGTATTTATACGTCATCATTGTACTTTTATGTTCTAGATCGCGGAACTTTTTAAACGTCATGCTTTCTAGTTTGTTTTGTTTTGAAAAACTCACGTATTGCATTAAGAAAAAAACACGGATGTATCGGTTTGCATTAAATTATTTTTACGTAATTTCTTTGTCAGTGTAGTTGCACAGAATCCCAGAATTCACAGCTAAAATAAAAACAATTGGCTTCTGACGGAGAAGCTGATGCATGGACTAGATGAAGAGTCATTGTTTGGTTTATTTCACTATAAACAATTACCAGGCGGACGCGTAAATAGGATTCACATATAATTTGCAGCATTTGTTTTTAAAGGCCAATAAACCTACCCTAAAATGAGAATCTTTGCAGTTAAGTGTGCTTTCAGTGGTTGTTAGGCTTTTGATTTTACAGCTATTTGGTGTAACAAATTCCAGTGCACAAAGCTATGAGGTCCACGTACAGGCCACAATAAAATTTTCCCTATGCGGGTGGAAAATTACATGGCTGTAATATGGTGTAACGGTTCACAAAATTAACACTCTGGTACAGACCTCGGTTTTTGGGTACACGGTACAGCAGGGAAAGCATGAAATCGGTTATTGCTTGTAGCGATAGGCAGGCTATGCCTATACCCGTAATAATTAAGTTTTATCTTGGTCTGAATTTCCTGGTGAATACGCCTTACAAAGCAATATTAGGCCTACTTGGTAAATTGTATGTAAGTTTCAAAGTATGAACAAATGAGTAAAAGGTTTAAGAAAAAGGTTAAACCCCTTCCGTAACAGCCAATGAGGTATATGTGTGTTCATTAACTTTAGTAGAGTTTTAAGTGTATTTATCTGTGTAAATGCTGACAGAGGTTCGCGTTAGCTTAGCGAATTAATATACAGGTATCTTCACTGATATTTTATGTTTATATTTCATTTGAATTTCAGTATTTGTTAGCTAATATCGCAAGTAAATTCGCATGGAGTTGTTTCTTTTAAATGAATGTAATAAGCTGACCAATGGCTCAACGTTTATTTCCGTTCATTTGTATAACTTTATATAGCCTAGACGGCAAATGTTTAACGGCAAATTTAGACAAGGAACAAACGGATGTGTAGGTTTACAGGCCTATGTTATTTCGTATTTAGTTCTCTCGTGTGCCATTGATGGTGACAATGACGAAGGTGATCCTGCTTTCCGAATAAACCATCAATCAGTTAAACCCAAGGAACCCATGCATGGCCATGAGGCATAAGTCTCAGCTGATGTGCTGATGCCTTGAGGGGTGTTAGACCAAAGGGATGCGGGAAGTCATGCAGATTTTGTGGCAGCGCTTGTCAGCAAACTCGAACTGGCTTTCAGCACGGCTCGGGTTAATCTGGCAGAGGCACATGAGAGACAGAAATTGTACCACGATGAAGTGGTTATTATTATAAATAAATAATAATAAATTTATTATTAATATAAAGCTAGCCGAACCCGGAGGCTTGGTCACAGTATAATGAACCTTTTTCAGTCATGCATATTGATCAAAGTTAATAGAGTAAAGAAGCCCTACTCACTCACAAGCTTGAATAAAACGCAATGACTGTATACTTGTTTTGGGGCAATCTCCCTCATCATGTTTGATGTTCACCACAAATTAACTGACGATCAACCGATAAACTATATCAGTGAAATGTATTTAACCAAAAACATATTCTTGTTTAGCGAGCTAACTACCTAATATGCGGTTAGCTGAATATAGTCACATTAATTGTAATCAGATGGCAGCAGTGCAGTTATCGGTAATCATGAATCCATTGGTATCCAGGGGTGCATATCCCGTACAAATATGTAAGTTAGCATTAACAATGTATGACATGGATAATAATCCAACTATGTTAGTTCAAATTAATAACCGAAGCACAACTATTTCCCGACACCATCATACTTTAATTGTTAGTACCACAGAGGTTTAAACCACGTTAGTTCAGACCACCATGGTTCGAACTACAATGGGTCCAGAGGTCGATCATTGCATGGTCTGACTCTCACGGCGGGTTACTTGCAAAGCAAATAAACCGCGTGATATTATTTATAGATACAACAGTTGTGCCGATAGCACATTATTAATGTATTGTGTCAGTCATGTAACACCAATAAAAGTATTCAAAAATAGCAATAACGTTATAATGTAATACTTGTATGATGCTTCATGTATTGGAAAAAAAGAACTACAATGCATTTAGTGTCATCGGCTCTCTGTAATTACGTTTATTTTACTTTTGATTTTATTATTTTATCACACTATAAACACTTAAAAATTGCTGATCCATCCCTATTCTTACAGCCTTATAGTAGCTCATATAGGGATTGCTGGGTCTGTGAAACCCCCATGCAAACAGCAATTGTCATGATCCGCTCCGTCCGCTCCTGATGTGTGCCACGCCCACCTCGTTACCTCGTGTTCAGCCCTGATTGTGATCACCTGAGTCCTGTTATGTCTAGCTTGTCTTCTGTATTTAGTCCGCGTCTGAGTACGTTACCCCAGATCCGTCATTGTATTGTCCGTGGATGTCCGTGCCTGTTCGTCGTTCGTGTAATAAAACCCCTTTACCGGACTTCCTGGCTGCTCTCGTCTGCTTCCCTGCTCACCTGCCCGCCGAGACGTGACAGCAATACGAAATAAAACTGAAGGCGGTGGAAATAAAGGAGTCACCAATTGCTAGATACCTTTTAAAAATGAGGCATGAATACATGGGTTTTATGTTTTGGGAACGGAAAATATTTTAGACATTTTAAAGAAACTACATATAAAATAAAATTAGAGGTGCATCGATCCGATATTCGGGATCGGTATCGGCGCCAATTCATCTCTATTATATACAGGGGCGTCAGAAGCATTTTAAATGTGGAGGGGACACACTGGCATAAAACGAATATTTTATGTTAAATGTGGGGGGTCCAAGCGAATAATTATGAAATGTGAGGGGGACACGTCCCTTCAGATTTAATGACGGCGACGCCCATGATTATATCGGGTATAGACCATATGTGATCGATCCACGTCTGATACGTACTTGTTCAGTTTTCGGCAGTCCGTAAAAAGATAGCTCCTACTTCTTGGTAAATCGATTTGTACAATCAATCGCCTGACAGCTCCGTCCCATTTTAGATATGTTTTTGCGGCATCCAAGCTGAACGCTAACGCTGCCACTGAGTGGGTGGAGCAGAGTGACTTCCGCCTGCTGTGGCGTCATGCGCATACCTTTTGTAGTACGAGGAGCAGAAGAACTGTATCTGGAAGTATTTTACACTTTTGACAACTAGTAGCACAGTTATTTGCAATCTTTGTAAAAAAAATATTTAAAAAAAAGCTTTGAGAGGTGGAAGTAGCGTTTACTGGAATATCGCACACGATTATGCGAGACAACGTGAGTAATATAAAAACAGCAATGGATGATTTGGAAGTCAATGCAATGGATGATTTTTGCGGGCTCGCTGCATCTTGTGATACAGGGGTGACTGCTATCGCAAACAAGTTGTAGGTTATTTTAACCATTCGCCACTTGTGTATAGTCTTTTGGAAGATATTCTAATTGAACTGCAAGTGCTACAAAAGTGCTTATAACAAGTTGTACAAACGAGGTGGAACTTTACGTCATGTATGTTTATGATTGACTAATTAAAGATTTTTTGGCTTACATTTTTATTCATTTGTATTTACTTGTTTAAAAATATTAATATAAATTAAGTATAAATCTAGTATCTTACAACAAAATCAGCAAAACCTCTTGGTTTTCCAGGTTTCTTCATGGGTGAATTTTAATATTTCAGTGTTTACAGTTGCACTTCACACTTGATAGCTGTCTTGCCTACAGTCACTGGAGATGATTAGACACAGTGCAATTATGAATAAATACGTATAAATACATAATCTGATAATTAAATGATGTGCACTGTACTGTGTCCATTCAAAGCACAAATGGGTGAAATTAATGGACTAATAACAATAAAACTAAATAGCTGTCATTCGCTTCCAGTCATTGGTAGTGAATGGACACAGCATAATTATTAATAAAAACATTGGGTTTGGTCCCTTTGGGTAACAAAAGTAATGACTACAGCACCGGTGTCAGACCCCAGTCCTGGGGGGGCCAGAGCCCTGCACATTTTTGGGTTTCCCCTCATTTAACACACCTGATTCAACTCCTTGTGCTAATTACAACACAGCTCTTGAGCTGAATCATTTGTGTGAGAACAGGGAAAGAGCTAAGCTACACAGGGCTCCGGCCCCCCAGGACTGCAGTTTGACACCCCTGGACTACAGCATGTTGACTACACGACAGTTTCAGGTGGGCACACAAAAGTTTGTGGAAGTGGGCATGAAAAAGTAAATGGTGAACATGTTGGAAGTGTGAGCTTTTTAATTTGTTGCACAGATCCCGTAAGGGGCTCCGTAGATTTATGTTGTCAATTTGTTTTAAATCTATATGTGCCTGGACATTATTTTTTAACCCAAATGCTTAACCGTAACCAACTTTAACTTCTATACAAAAATGCACCCATCACAACCTACAAACAAATCAGCTAATCCTGAATGACAAAGTCCCTGAAACAAACTGGCTGTCTCAAAATTCTACATCTTCCAGAACGAGAGACAGCCTGTTGTGGCTCAGTTTCCTGTAACCTGCACAGCCTCTGTGCTACCAGCGACCAGTGACTCCTCAGCCCTGCAGTCCCCCTCTGATGACCCCTCATCCTGTAGTGTTGAAGCATGAAAGGGAGACGGCTGGGAGCTACTCGAAAAACCAGAAGGCACCAGCAATATGTAAGGTTTTAGTCTATCGTAATGCACCTTCTCCTGTCTGTTAGTCCAAGTATTACCAATATGATATGTGAGTTCAGGTTCTCCCTGAGAGTCCAACACAGCCAGGACCATGTAGGGTTCCTTCCAGTGGGGAGCAAGTTTCATATGGACCTCCTTAGGGTTATGCCATACAAGAAACCCTATGGCATACAGTTGATGACTGACTGCTGCATCATAATACAGCATGCTGCCTAGCACCACTAAAAGCAGTCTCTAGGCTCTCCGCCAAGCTCTCTGTATGGTGGAAAGGTAAGTTGGGCTGTACTATTGAATATGGCACTAACCCATCTGCAATGGTATGGTGGACAAACTTGCATTTTTGTATTTGTTTTGTTTGAGGACTTTTACTCGATGTTATTGGTCTTCCATATGGAGGAGTTGGGTCAGCTGATGTGATGTGATTGGACAGGGTGGAGTGGGAGGCTTGTCTTCGTCATCCAATTATGTTGGGCCTAAAACAAGGAGGTGAAGCAGAAGTGTGGTATGCTTGGTGCTCGGCCGTGCTGTCGCTTGTGTGTGGAGGCTGGAGTTGGTAAGCCGTAGCTTTTATTGAATGATATTTAAATGATTTTTAAATGTCTGGTTTTTATCAGTAAACAGAGTGGCTAGCGGTTGAAGTATTGACCAGATGAATAATAATAATACATTTTATTTATATAGCACTTTTCAAGATCTCAAAGATACATGGAATAGAGTAAACATAAGACAATGACAAAAGATATTGGTAGGGAAGGTTATATGGTTGAGCAAACAAAAAGGCTTTTAGGTTGATCTTGAATCCTGAGACCGAGATCAACTGAGGAATAGCCGTACGGAGGGAGATCAAAAGTGGGGGAGCTAAATGGGAAAATGCGCGGTCACCATAGCTGTGGAGTTTGGAAGGGGGGATGAGGAGAGAGCCAGAAGAGGAGGATGTAAGAGTGCAGGGAGGCCGGTAGGGGAGAAGCAGTTCAGAAAGGTATGATGGGGCTTGGTCATTATGAGCTTTAAATGTCAGGAGAAGTATTTTAAAGTGGATGTGTTCTTCTTGAGGGAGCCAGTGAAGGCTCTGAAGTATGGACGTGATGTGCTGGTAAGAGTGAGTGTGGGTGACGAGACGGAGAGCAGAGATCTGTACTATTTGGAGTTTATGGAGAGATTTGCCAGTAATATCAGGTGAGTTGCAGTAGTCAAGAAGGCTAGAGGTAAAAGTGTGAATGTAGTTGGCCACATTCGTTGTGTAATTTCAGACCTCCAAATTAATTATTTCATTTTAAACAAATTTGTTATTTCTAAATGCAGTATGCTGTTACCACAGCCTATAGTCTATAGCCTACAGGGGTGGCGATGTCGTTGGCTCGTTCACGGCT